AAGAGATGTTAGGTAGGGAGTAATGGTCTCATTCCTGGAAACATGTGTTAGGCACCCTGGCAAGGAAGTGTAAAATCCAGTGAAAGCTTAAAGATGAAGTGAGGATGGGTGCCCATGAGTGTCCCATCCGACCTCCCCCTGAACAACAAAAGCAGCTTCAGAAGTTACCTTAAAGCTTCAAAGCTCATAAAACAGACTGAGCAATCTGAGTCCTCTTTGGCCACACGCAAATACAGCAAAAGATGTGTTACTTGGGTCAATTAGGTTAATCTAAGCTAACCTATTACTCTTTTTTAAGTATTTCAATGAATTTCTCTCTTATTGGTCTGTCTAGATTAGACTTATGTTACTAGCTAAATACAATGGAAATTCCCCAAATTTAGTTTTTTAATTGCGTACATTTATTCACTTTAATCAATGAATTTCAAAAACCCCATTATCTTTGAGAACCAAATTAGTTCTTTACTGAATCTCTCCTATATATTCACTATTGATATTTTAAGCATCATTTTACTCTTTAAATTCCTGTCTCTCAAGGCTTAAATGCTTATCTGAATTTTGAAGAAAACAAGATGACTTTATGCTCAGCTAGATCAGAAGTAATTTCAACATTACATTCAATACTTCTTTTGAATTTAATTACACAGTAATAGCTATTTTGATTGAAGGTTTATATGTTGAAAAAATAACAGAGATATGAAACTGAAGTGCTCATATAACAAAGTTTTAGCTGTGATGTGCAATAAGTCATGCCGAAATTTCTGTGTCTAGACAAGTACTCATTTTTTCAACTAGAGCACTCAACTCTCTATAGTGTGTGATAACAGAAGTGGGTTTTGTAATTCCCTAGGAAGATTTGTTTCTCTAACCAAGGACTATCAATATTATTTTGATCTTTCTTGTGTGTGAATTAGCCAAAGGTATACCTTTTCTTTCCTATGATCCTGGCTCTGGCCATTTCAAGAGCATTCTGAGTATTTACCCAGGAAAAGGGTAAAGAAAAACAAAAGATGAAACACTCATAATAGGATCATTATGAGTATTAGTGGAGAAGAGGCATGTCAATTCATTAGCAGTATTTAGCACATAACAAACACTTAATAAATGTCATCATTTATGAGAATCACAGTCATCATTATGAGAATCACCCAAAACCAGCCCTCAAAACAGGAAACTAACAGCTTCCACTAGCTTGCACCTAGGATGTTGAATATAGGTTAAATAGTGCTACTTGTAATACGTGTTGTTTCACACTCACCAACGATACCTGGGACATGGGGAGATGAGGCAGCATGGCCGAGGCTCTCATTTTCCAGCAAAGTTGGGTAAGTCGTCGTCTCAGGGTTGTGTGCTGGACTGGATTTGCCTTGGTCCAGCATGGCTGCAGGTACTGATGTGGAAGCTTGGGCAGCTGAGAAGACACTAGCGGTGCTGTGTGCCCCTGAACTGCCAAAGCAGGGCGCAGCAGGGGAGCACTGCACTGGATCAGTGGAAGTGTAATATGGAGGATCCGCCTGTGTGTAGACAGGAGGAAATGTTGGACTCTGGCTAAGGCGCGCCTCCTGGTCATCGTAGTATGACTCGTGATTCTCTATCAGGGAATCCTGTGAAGGGCAATATGTTCCTACAATATTGCTCTGGAAATCATCTGTTGGTCTTCTCACTGGTGTAGTTGGGCTATAACTTTCAGTACAAGAGAATGAAGCGGGAAGAGGCACATCCTTCTTCTTTGCTTTCTGCAATTTGACCTTTCTAGAAAGCAGGTAAGTATAATGCTTGTATGCATATCCAAGTGGCTTCTGAAATGACAGAAACCCAGCATAATAAACCAACTGTGAGTGAGCAAACAGTAAATAGTGAATACATTATTATCTATGCAACAATGCTTTCTATTATTAAAGATTAATGTTCTACTTAATTGTATGATTTTTATTCCTCTTCAACCCTACCTTTCAATTGCATTTTATACATTATGGTTACAAACATAAAAATACCCATTTTTAATACATTTCTCAAACCTAAACTTCAACATTCTTCCTAGTTTAGTTTCCCATCTGTTGCTACAAGTAAGGATCAGCCTTGCAATCTCAGACTTACTAGTTCTCTCTCACTTCTAACTGACGGGCAATTTCAGAAACCAGAGGTTTATTATAGTTGTGAAAATATTTTTATGACACTTACGCGATTTTGCCAGATTAATTTTGTACGAAAACGGTAAATTTTTGAAACCTTTCCATTAATGGCATCAAACTTCTTATCCAGGTTTTGAATAGCATCCTGGATGACCTATAATAATACAATCTATTAGCAGGTTCTACGTCAAGAGAAAACATATAAGAATATACCACTAAGTCAAATTTTGATGGCTGGGGGGGAAAAGTTCTCAAGCCATCAGAAATGTCTTGCTTCCGACTTGATACCTGGTTGTTGGTGACATAGAGCCCAGCTGATTGACATAAGGAGTGCAAACTTCCTACACTACTACTCCATGTCCTACAAGCATTTTAAGAAGCTTAATTCTGGAAAGTAAATGTACCACAATTCCTATAACCCATCACATTTATGATGGAGTCATTTTACATCAAGGAAGGTACTCTTTTAGGAAAGAAATTTTCAAATCTACTGAAAAGCCAAAGGACCTCTTTCGATATGATGCTGACATGAACTAATAGGCAGTGAGCATTCCAGTCTGGAAAGAACAGTGAGTCAAATATATCAGATGTGACTTCTGGCTTCAAAACATTTTAAAATCATGCAATCAACAATTAACACCATAAAATCTCTAAGTACACATCCCTATATGCCAGTCAGTCATGTGACTGACAGAACCTGAGAATTCTTGAATACACAGAAATTTCATTCAGGCAAAAAATACACTTAAGTAATAGACCAGAGTGATTTCCTCATTCACTCATTCTAATGAACATTTATTGAGGGCCTACCTACCACCTGTCAGAACTACTTTGCTAGATGCTAGAAACATGGACATTAAGAAAAACCAAACAGCTCCTGTCCTTAGGAACTCCCGTTTCAGCTGGAGAGAGACAAAGAGATGCTTCCAACAGAAAAAGTGAGTAGCAGCCTGGAGGAGGGGTTCTCAAAGTGTGGACCGTGGACCAGCAGCCTCAATGCTCTCCTGCTAGAAATGCAAAATGCCCTACCCCAGACCTCATAAGTTGGGAACTCAGAGTGGAGGCAGCAATCTGTGTTTTCACAAGCTCTCAAGGTGATTCTGATGCCCAATCAAGTGCAAGACCCACTGATTGGCCTACAGCACTAAGGTAAACAGTGCAGACTCTAGGGGGAATAAGGTTGGGTTTAAATATTAGAGTTCTGCCACTTACTAGCTCTGTGACCTTGGTGAAGTTACTTAACTTCTCTGTGCCTCAATTTCCTGATGTACAGAATCAGGATAAAAAGATATCTGAGTTCTCTTAAGGACAAAGCAAGGTGCTATAGTATTATGTTCATACTAACATAACAATACTACATGACGACTGGTCTAACAACACTCAATCATCCATTAATATTAATATTACTATTGTGACTATATGGCACAGGTAAGAACAGGAGGCTAAGTGAACACAGAAGAGCAAGACCTAACCCAGATTGGCAGGCGGTTTCAGACAGGCAAATGTCTACATTGAGAATTAAAAGATGAGGACATGTTCACTTAGTAAAGTTGCATGGAAGGACACACAGGGCAGAAGGAACAGTGTACTCAAAAATACCCAGAGAGAAAACAGGAAGTCAGATGTTTAGATAGTGAACATAACTGACATTCAAAGAGCTGGGTTATTAAGGGAAGGAGGGAGAAGGATGACAGTGAAGGAGGGATGGGAGGCTAAAGAAGTCATTTTTTAAACTGTGGGAGAATATGCTGAGAGTGATAGACACAGAGGCTGAAGGTACAGGAGAGAGAGGGATGACGCATGAAGGCAGGTGTCTGACCACAGGGAAAGAGGGTCAGGTGCAGAAACCAGCAGAGGTGTTAGCCTTACAGAGAGGAAGACACCAGAAGAGGAATGGATCCCAGGCAAGTTTGTTGGCTGTGGGGAGAGGAATTAGGGCTTGGAAGGGATTTCTGCTCCACACCCTCCATTTTCTCCATTAAACAAGCAGCAAGGATTGGGTGCCTGGAGCTCGTGGGGGGATGGGAGAAGGAGCCGACTAGAGAGCTGCTGGAGGATTATCAGGCAGTGAGTGTACAGGTTCCAGCAGAGGTCCTCCCCTCTGCTTCCCAGCAGGCACAGGGCTGGGGTTTTACTGAAGAGGATGCTGGGGAAGGGAAAAAAAGAAGAGACGAAAGTGCTGCACCACAGGGTCTAGACAGGTAAGAGGAGTTGAAGAAAGGAGAGAGCTGGCACACTAGGAGAAACAGAGTGGATCCCTTCTGGCCATTCCAGGGCTATGACTTTGGGACCTGAGCATTTCTTATATATCCTAGGTGCTACATCCCACCACATCCTGCACAACTGCTCAGAATGCCCTGGCAGAGCAGTGTCCACCTAAGTCGTTGTAGATGCTTATGTAAGGCAGGCCAGGAATAGCGCTGCTCAAAATCAGAACCTTCCCTCCCACTACGGCCCACCCTCTATATACAGCTTCCCCAGAAGACTTGATATGTTCCCTTTAAGCATTCCACTTCTGTTCTCAGTAATAAAAATACTCACATAAATATTCTTTAATTTTCAAAGTATGCTAACTCATGTTATTCAAGATACTCGATACGTTAAGAAACATTTTTTATAAATGTTCATTAGCTCTAGGGTATGCAGCTCACAAAATCCTTGATAATTACATACATCTATCTCTAGCAACATATTTTTTACAAAATCCCTTCAAAACTATGTAAGATATACTCTTGTAAAAATAGGTAGGCTGTCATTTTGTTTCAACTGAGATATCTTGACATGCATTTAGGCACATACTACATTTCACCCAAATCAGCCAATTTCCTTAAAAAGAGTATGTTGGAGAAATTACATATTGAACAATCTAGATGAGATAGATATAACTACATTTAATCAGTTAAGGGCTTTATTTTTT